TGCTTTCATAGAACTACCATGGACCCCCCAAACACTTTCTAACCTGCCTCAAATTGAAGACAAAATCATGCATTGAATAATGTAGATCTGAAAGATGTGGTTTTACCCAAAAAGCAATCCTGTGCTTGATTAGATCACAGAGGTCCTCCAGATTTGGGATGGTTGCCCTAAACAGACACTCGTTTCTGCACTTCCAGATTGACCACATCACCACCAATGGTATTGCTCTCCAAATCTTCTTTTCTATCTTCCTCCACTTCCCTCCAGCCCACCACAGGAGGAGGTTCTCCACAGAGCCTGGAATAACAGCTTGGACATCCCACCAGTTTAGCATTTCAGCCCATATCTTCCACACAAAGGGACACCCAAGTAGTACATGATTCACTGATTCACCCTCACTACCACAGAATACACAAGCTGTAGATACACCTTGGTTAATCACACCCAGCTTCAGTAAGAACTCCTTGGTCTTCAATCTCTTTTTCCATGCAAACCAACCAAAGACCTGCACCTTAGGAGGGATATACTTGAGCCATATCAGCCTAGTTATGCTCAGAGGGACTCCAGCAGTGGCCACAACAAACTTATACAAATCTGATGACATCAGACTCCCAGAAGAAGAGGCTGCCCAGACAGGCTGGTCAGGGCACTCTGGACACAGCACTGGGGCTGCCAGGAGCATAGTAACTAATCTGTCCAGCTCCAGCTTCTCCCAATCATACAGTTCCCTTCTAAAGACCTGCTGAAATTTTCTTTTCAACCATACCATTCAAAGACTCATTCTTGTCCAAAGACAACCTAAACAGTGTTGGGAATTCATCCTTCAAGCACACAGAATGGCACCATATATCAGTCCAAAAACAAATCCTCACCCCATCCCCTACCTTCAAGTGAAAATTATTCAGATAAAACACCTTCAAGCTAGTACGTTGTTCAGCAACAGAGATGATCCCCTTCCACACTGCTGAGTGACTCATGGATGGGGTGAGAGACGGAATCCAACCACCCGCCTCCATCTTATATTTGCTACATATAACGCTTTTCCATAAAGCATCCTTTTCCTTACCAAACCTCCACCACCATTTAATAAGTAGACAGTTATTTGCAACCCTCAACTGCCTAATACCCAAACCACCTTGATCCACTCTTTTAGACAACTCCTCCCATTTAATCATATGGATTTTCCTCCCCTATTCAAAACCACCCCATAAGAATTTAGCTTGAATCTTATCCAATTCTGAAGCAACCCCTTCAGGCATCTTGAATAAAGATAAGTAATATACTGGCAAGGCTGAAGTTACTGATTTAATCAATATGAGTCCCCCCGCAAAAGACAACATCTTCCTTTTCCATCCAGCTAGCTTGCTTTTGAATTTTTCCACAACTGGTTTCCAAGTAGCCTTCTTTCTTGGATTAGCACCTAAGGGCAACCCTAGATAGGTAATTGGCAATGCTTTAGTTTTGCAATTCAAAATTGTGGCCATATCATTCAACATCTCCACAAAGACACCCACCCCACAAACAACGCTCTTGTGAAAATTTATTTTTAGGCCAGATAAGACTTCGAAACATCTTAGCACCCTCTTTAATTTCCTTACCTCCTCCACCTCTGCTTCATAGAACAAGAGTGAATCATCTGCAAACTGTAAATGAGTCAACAACACTCCCTCACGGCCTACCTTCACCCCTTTAATTAGGTTTAACCCACAAGCTCTGCTCAACAAAAGATACAAGCCTTCTGCAACCAGATTAAATAGAAAGGAAGATAGCGGATCACCTTGTCTTAGGCCCCTTTGGGGGCTAAACTCTTCAGTGGGAGATCCATTAACAAGCACTGAAACTCTTGCCGTAGTTACACACTCCTTCATCCAGTTGATCCACTTAGCACCAAAACCGAACTTAGATAGCATAGAGAATAGAAAACCCCAATTTATGGAATCATATGCCTTTTCAAAATCCAACTTAATAAGGACTCCCTTCCTCTTGGCTTTCTTCCAGCCTTCAACAACCTCATTTGCAATCAACACACCATCTAAAATATTTCTACCACTAAGAAACGCAGACTGAGGCTCACTAATAATATGTGGCATAATAGATTTTAGTCTATTTGCCAAAAGTTTTGCTATGATTATGAAGAGTGAGCCCACCAAACTTATGGGTCTATAGTCGGAAAGCCCAGAAGGATTGTCCCGCTTGGGGATAAGGGTTATAAAGGAATTGTTAATGCCTTTTACCAATCTGCCATTCCTATGGAATTCATTCACAAAAGTAACAACCTCACCCTTCATGACCTTCCAAAACTTTTGAAAACACAACATATTAAAGCCATCAGGTCCGGGTGCTTTATTACCATCACACTCCATCACTACTAGTTTAATCTCTGCTTCTGAAAACTCTGTTTCTAACAGATCAAACCTCACTCTACCATCTGCTGATGGGAAATGACCCCCCAATTCAGGTCTCTCTGGCCAGAGTTCCGTATATTGGTTTTTAAAGTATTCCATCACCTTGTTCTTCACTTGGCTCGGATCTTCATACACCACGTCCCCTTCTGTAATGGAATGTAATTCATTTCTTATTGTTCTGCACTTTGTGACCACATGGAAGAACCTTGTATTCTTGTCCCCTTTCATCGCCCAGTTAAGCCTAGACTTTTGCAGCCATAGCCACTCCACCATCCTACCCAAACTCCACATTTCAGCTCTAACTTCACGCCTCCTGCATTTTTCATCATCATCAAGGTCTCTAGCCTCAGCCAGTAGATCAATTTTGTGAAGTTCACCCTCTACAGTCTTCAATTTGTTTACAATATTACCAAAAACCTCCACATTCCAGCTTCTCAGGCCATTTTTCAGGATCTTCAACTTCTGAATAAGAATAAACCCAACCCAACCATCAACCCTAGACTCCTTCCACTTTGACTCCCAGAAGCTCCGAAAATTTTTATGCAAAAACCAAGAATTCAGGACCCTAAAGGGCTTTGGACCCCAATCCCTCTCATCCTCCATCATAAGAAGAGGGCAGTGATCAGAGACCAGTCTTGGTAAACCCCATAGCTTCAGGTTAAATATCTCAAGCCATTTAGGATCTACAAAAATTCGATCAATTTTACTCCACTTTTCCCCACCAAATGAATTACACCATGTGAATCTCCTCCCAAGTAATGGTAGATCAGATACCTCACACTTATCAATGAACTCATTAAATTCTTTCATGCCCCTATCTCTCCTAGAGCATCCTCTCCTATCCGCAATCTGCCTAATCTCATTGAAGTCTCCTCCTAAGCACCAAGGATTTGGGAATTCCTCCTTTAATTTCAATAGACAGTCCCACAGATGCCCTCTTGAGCTCACATCATTAGGAGCATAAATATTTAAAATAGCACAATTAAATTGGTTAAAGATGGTACCTGATAATAAGATGAATCTTCTATTGCTACAACATTCTGTTAGTTGGAAGACATCTGGGTCCCATATGCACAGTAATCCCCCAGCCGAGCCTACAGCATCCACCACCATAAACTCCATTTTGTCTCGGACCCACACAGATCTAACTTTGTCCTCTGTTAATTCTGCCTTTTTAGTTTCTTGTAGCAACACAATATCTATATTCCTCTCCTTCAGGAGCTTCTTAACTTTGCCTCTTTTCTCCTTCCTCCCCAACCCTCTAACATTCCATGAAAGAATCTTCATAAATAACCATGAGAGCTCTAATACATTCCCCCAGCTGGTGTCCATCAGACCCCATCTCTCACCCCCCCTTCAATTTGTTCCTTGTCCTTCAATTCAAGGTTCACAATCTTCTCCAACACAGCAGCTCGCTTACCATTGAATTGCACACCAAGAGCTTCCCCCATCTTGAGAGTTTCTTCAGCTTCGTTGAGGGCGAACCTCCCCTTAACAGTTCCACCCTCTAATGATGCAGATGAGGACCTTGCCGCCACTGCTGCCCGCCATACTGCAGCCCTGGGCATTGCTCTACTGGTTGAAGCCCCTTTGCTCCCATACTTCCTTAACAGGTCGAAGGACTTTTTCCCCAGAAATGTCAATTTTTAATAAGTAATGCTAGAGATCCCAAATGTTTTACCAAATGTCTCACTTGGGTGTGGGATAGTATGGGTCCCACACCATGTGAGTCATTTGGTAAAACATTTAGGATCCCTAGTATTTTTCATTTTTAATTTGTCACATACTCAATTATGTGAGACTCTTCTTCCTTGCCATAGAGTGTATTTGATGGTCTCAAATGTGAGTATCTAACATTACTCTTTGAAATACGGGATGTATGTTGTATCATATCATTCTCAAGTTTATTTACTTATTTGTTTATTTTTTTGAATTCAGGATCATTCTCAAAGTTGATATATATATATATATATATATATATGTATATATATATTAATTAATGTTTTGAAATTAAAATATAATAATAATAATTTGATAAAAATACACCTGACAAATTGGGTATTAAGTGACAAATATTACTTTCCTTCATTGAAAGATTACATTACATCCCTTCAATACAAAGGTTGGGTCTAATTTTTAGTACATTCAATACTCAAAAGGCAACTTTTGAGATTCAAATTCAAAATTGTTTTGTAACAGTTAGAATCAAATTTTGCGTTGTTTAGTGTTTCTTAATTATTTAAGCACATCTTTCATGTATTGGGATGAAACTCTAAGAAGTTAGCCAAGAATTAAAGATTTGGGAACAAAATTTAAAATCTTGAGTTATTTTAAGAGGCTTTTGAAGATTTGTCTAATCATTAATTTTAGAATTATAAAATTAGTCAAGATACGTATAAATTAGATGAATTAAAATAGATCTTTACTAAGTGTAATTGTCCTATGAAACGGTACCTTTTTCTTGTTTTGGGGGGGTTGGGGAAAGAGACTAGTTATTGTTTATTTTATTTTAGCATTACAAACAAAAATGTATATAATTAACTCAGAGTATGAGACTTTCATCGTAACGAAATTAAGAAAGGACAACACATCTACTAAACAAAATGTAAATAAGTGCACATTAGATTAATTCTACATGTGAGGGATTTTATAACAAAACAAATGACGAATCGCATAGTACATGTAATCAAATATCAAAACCTTTGTGTCTATCATAATAAGGGCTAACACAAAACAAACAAGGAGCTCAAAAAAAATCAGAAAAGTGGCTAAGAAGGCTCCTAGTTCACCTTCAAGAATATAGCCCTGGGCAAATGCAGTGGCAGAAAAGCCTGTGGAGTAGATAATTGTAATGCAAGAAATAATGGTTTTCAGTGGTATCGCGATATGAAAATCATTGGTGTCAAACCGCGATAGCTGAATCAACATCAGAGTTGCCAAGGAGAGAAAAGCGAAGAAAAGAGCTAATCCAATGTACACCATGAAGAACTGTATTTCCTGCCGATTGCTTTTGAGAAGCATGGGTATGCCGGTGTTTTGATCAAAGCCTCCAGGGAGAGTAAAGAGAGCTGCGAAATTGATTGTGCCGATAAGAATAGCCACAATTATTAAGTTGTCACTCACGTGTTTGGCGGCTTTCTCAGCTTCTTCTCGTAGAGCTGCGTGATTTTCTTCGAATAGTTCCTCTGCTGCCTTTCCATCAAAGTTTCGAAGATGCCATAAATGTGGATATGAGTCGTGTTTTACGAGCTGTTGGAACACAACACAAATTCAAATGATTTAATTAGAATCCTCAATTAATGTTTAATGTTGTTATTCTAAAAGCAAGAGCAGTGATTGGTACCTTAAACCATAGCACATCCCAACTCATCTGGTTAACTACTCCAACACTTCCTCGCTTCGCTCCAACATGAAAATCAGTGTTCCATCGACCATCAACATCATCTACAAATTGATTTCTTGCTAGTCCAGGAGGAGACCTAGTAGGATTTCCCACGCACGTCGCCAGATGCAAGATAGTGTTTCCTCGGAAATCAATATCTGCTAACATCCTGTCCTTGTAAGCAACAAAATTCATCAAGTAATCATAGATAAATCTATGCTTTTGCTCTACTGATATGTGTAGTATGTTCCTCCCATTCTCATCAAACGAATCTGCAGCTTCTGGATATTTGTTTAGGATTGCCATTACCACCTCAAGTATGCCGAGCCTCGTTGCCTGTAAAAGTGGGTCTAGTGCCCTATTCCTCCTTCCAATTGAGCTTGCTTCAGAATCTGTATGAATATAATGACTCCAATCTTCTTTTTCGATCAATTTATTTGCCAGCATCAAGGCAAGTACATGCTTTTGTTTGGCATGATCAATTTTTTTCAACAAATAAAAACCTGACAAAAGTGAGAAATTTTAAGCATGGTGGAAGAAAACCATAATGTGAAATATAATTCAAATCCTATATTAGAAAGGACACAATAATTTTCAAACTCAAATTTGCTCATAGTTAGCTTGAGGGATGGAGGTCCAATACTATAGAGAAGTCTGGTTTTTTGTTTTGTTTTTGTTTTTTATTTTTATTTTTTTAAAGAAAAAAAAATATCCATTTAAAAAAAAAAGAAGGGTATGATGTAGATTTAAGCTTCAGGTGTAGGTCATACCACAATAAATATGATCCATGTATATTTTATTTTTAAGGTGCTTTTTTGTATTGATATTCAAAAAAAAAAAAAAAAAGGTGATCAGGTAGTCTGGCTTCTCTACATTTTTGGAGGTAAATTACAACTTTTCCACCCTCAAATTTTTACTCAAATTTTACTTTGATCTATCATCTTTTAATTGTAGCAATTAAACTATGAAGCATCGACACTTCAAAACAAGTGTCATATCCGTGTCAGATACACAGGCACTTCGGGAACACACGGACACTTCAGGGACACGTATAGGACACACTATATGGTGTGTCTCCTTATTTAATTAATTTATTTTCAGAAGACACGCCGGGGACACTTCGGGAATACACTAAGGACATGTCAAGTTGTCTTCTTTTTTTTTCATTTTATTTAGTGTTTTTGATGTTGAATGTTTATTATTATTATTATTGTTAGATTTAAATACATAATAGATCATCCATAAAATATATACATATATATATATATATAAACTATAAGTATTAATTTAAAAGTATTTAAAAAAAATAGAAATAGAATTAGAATTAATATTTGTTAACATTGATTGTTTATGGATGTAATATAAATCTAAATAGCAAATAAAAATATATTTTATACCCATATTCCAGCCATGTTCGTGTCCCTATTTTTTTTAAATTATTGTGTCTTATGTCTAAATCCATATCCGTATCCGCATGTATGTCTGTGTCCATACATCTTAACAATAAAGTCTTCAAATTTTAACCTATATTTCAATGTTGCTCTCCCATCATCCTAGCTTTCAAAGGTAGTAAGAGTTGAAATGTGAGAGATGAAAATGAAAGTTGAGCAAAAGTTAGAAGGCAAAAAGTGTAATTTTTTCCTCTTTAATGCTCCTAAAAATGTAAAAAAATCAAAGGTAAAAAATGTAAATTCTCTCTCTTTTGATAAATTGAAGGGAAATAAGGTAATTCAAATCCGTAACCTCCTAATAAAATGCACCCTTTTCTTCATTTATATATATATTATTGATTGTATACAATTCAAATAAATAAAAATAAAATAAAATATTTATTATATACTATATGTCACTCAAGTAGTTATTACTTAAAGTTAAAGTCTTAAATTCATGTCTCACTCTCTTCTCTATCCATTTTTTTTAATAGAGAAATTGACACTTATCATAAAGACAGAAAATGACTTCAAGACATTACCAGAAATAATATAGTATGGATAGTTTGTTTTATACATCTAATCAATAATTTGAATTTTTTTAATGATTTAAAAGGAGAAGAAGATGAGCACCTAGGATTGTTTTGGTGAAAGAAGGCCTTTCTAATTTGGACATAACAACTCCATTATTGCTTGGATCCTCTACATTGCCAGCCGCTGGTAACTCTAAAGCTGTCTCCACATACATTGTTGGAATATCTGCTCAACCTCACAATTAGCAATTCATTAAAAAAAATTCACCAAAGCAAAAACAAATTTCTACCCTTCATCTCTTTAGGTAAAAAATATTTTTTAACGGTAAATATTTTTTACAAAATTTTTTTGAAAAAATATTTTTTATATTTAGTGATGGTCACTGCAATAAATAAGAAAATGTCGCTAATAAATGCAAAGACAAAATAATTTGGTCCAACAAATGTTTATTTTTAAGACAAATTTTGATTCCAAAAGGGAAGCAATTCATCACTAAATATCTGATTTTGTCACTAAAAATACACATTTTTTGCAACAAAAAATTTCGTATTTTGTCTAAATTTTTGTCTCTAAAACCATAGTGGTGGTGGTGGGATGAAGGTAGAGTTGGAGGTGGTAGTGTGGTGGTGGGATGGCAGTTGTGGCAATGGCGACGAATATGGTGGCGGTGGCCATGGTGATGGTGGTGTGGTGGTGAAGGTGATATTGACAGTGATAAGGTGGTGATATTAATAAGATTTTAAGTTGAAACATGTTTTTCATCTTTTAAAAGTGAAAAGTATTTTCTATCCAAATAAATTTTTATTTTTCATTGTACTGCCAAACCTCAAAATGCAAAAAATATTTTCCCCAAACAAACATAACACTAGTTAAAAACTAGATCATCATTCTATAACTACTTTAATATATAACTTTTCTACAAGCTCAGACAGATAAAAAAAAATGTAATAATATATTTTAACAGACCCAACAAAAGATGAGAAAAGTTAAATTCAAAAAAGATGAAAAAATTTAATCCTTGAAAAAAAGTTTTTTCAATTTGAATAATTTAATCCTTACATTTTGAGTCGAGTTTCAATTCGGTATTTCCACTCAAAATTAACGATTTTAAAGCACTTGTCAACCTCATAAATTGCATATGTAGAAAACTGTAATGAAATTTTAACAAAATAATCAAATTGAAACTAGACTTAAAAGTGTAAAAATTAAATTATTTAAATTAAAATAATTAGAATCAAAGTAAAATTTGAATCAAATTATAAGAGTGAAAACTATAATTTACCCAAATAAAAATCATCACAATGTTGAAAAATGAGAATCCATGCTCCATGATTGGTTCATCTGAGGGGCGGAAAATTTAGAAGTGGAAATCTTTATCAATTTACATTTTCATTATTCATTTATTTTTATTATAAAAATGGAATTGGAAGAACTTTTTAAAAGCATATTAAAAAAAATTAATGTTTTAACTAAATTGCAGGTGTAATGGTGTATATACTTACAAAAATAGATTATAGCTTCAACAATCTGCCAAGGAATGAAGGGTGTCCTGCTTAGATCATATAGTACATATGATGATCTGCTTCTGAAAGAAGTTGGTTTTGTCACCAACAAATTCAATGCTGTCATACCCTTTTCATCATGTTGCCGAGCAAGGTTTGGATATGATTCCAATATCCTCATTGCCAAATCTATTTCACAAAAAACATACATTTAAAAAAAAAAATTAAAAAAAAAACTTCAACTAAGTCAATTTTCTTTTACATGTCCTCCACATTTCTTAATTTCAAATTAAACAAAACTAAGTTTTGTATCTCAATTAAGTGAGATCGATTAGTATGTAATAGAGTTCATCACTTTATATTAATGTTTGAAAATGATTACTATGTGACATGCCAACATGATGTTAGCATCGAATAATTTTTCTACACGACAGATTTTGTATCTATTGAAGTCTAACCCAATCATTACATCAAGTTTATATAATCATTCTAAAAGTTTATATAATCATCACAAACCCACCTCCAAACTGAAGCTCATAGGGTCAATTGTACTCCAATAATGAAATTACATTCATAGACCAACTGTAATTAAAAAGGTTACAAAAAATGACTAAGAAAAGATGTTAGGGCCAGTGGAATTTACCACAAATCATATTTTAATGATTTCAATGTGTATTTTGTCGAATACTTTCTATATATCATCCACAACAAATTTATATCGATCCAATAATCATAATATATTTAAATTATTGTGATTTTACAAAAAGAAAATAAATAAAAATGAAGCGGTTATTTTTAAAAACACAATTAACATTCATTTTTCCTTTAGAAATACAATAAATTGAGTAAGTTATGATAATTAGATCGACGTAATTTTTTGTTTGAATAATATATACAAACTATGCCAACAAAATAAACAATTCAAATCAATAAAATCAAATCTCTAAGTAAGTCCACAGGTTCAAACAGTATAATATAATCTAAATTATGAACGAAAGGGAATTGAGTTGTTTCAAAATATAGGTATTGGAAACATACAGTAACGTTCTCCCTCAACGGCCGCATGGAGAATGGTACGACCATCACGTCTCCTTGTCAAGCAATCGCTACCAAAATTCTCCAAAACTTGAAAAACTTCCCTCTTCCCATACGCAGCAGCAAGGTACAGAGGCGTCTCGTTCGACTCATTCCGCTCCATTACCAGATCTTGTTTCTTCCTCAACATGATCTCCGCCACGCCCGCCTGCCCAAACCTCGCAGCTTCGTGCAGGGCGGTGTTTCCATTCACATTCTTTTTCATCAGTAATTCGTTAGTCAGAAGCTCCTCTCCAACTAGACTTTCCATGACATCCACATTGCCTTGGATTGCCAAAAGATGGAGAACCGTGTCGCCGCGATTGTCTATTGATATCGCGCCATTGACATTCTCTCTCAGAAAATCACAGAAGAATGAAAACGATTCGGGTGTTTTCTCTGATGCGAATTTGTAAGCTTTGGAGCGGCGGCTTAAACCCGAGCTTTCCATTTTCGCCAACTCTAGTCTCTAATGAAAAATATGTAAGTATATATTGTCTAATGTTTCTTATGTAAGTCTTGTCTAATGTTAGTTGGTTCCCGTTTGGAATGAGATGAAAAAAGTTTTTTTTTTTTTTTTTGGTAATTGAATAGATAATTGTCAAAAAAAATAACAATTATTATAATTTAAATATAATATTTTATTTTATTAATTATTTTAATATATCTTTTTTATCTTTATTAGTTATTTTAACTAAAAATTTGCATCTCAGAAAAGAAAAAGCAGAAGGAACGACTAAGAAGAAAAGAATAAATGAATGACGAATATTTTGCTTTCTTTGGTGAAGGAGGCTTCTAGGATGTCACCACCCACCGACTTCCCCGTGTGGTTCGTCTTTGGTACGACTGAGGCGTCCTTCAAAGCACCAAATTTGATACTAGGGACATGCGATGGTATTATATACATCAATTAATATATAAATTAATATATCAATTAGTATCATGTCATTATTCTGATCTCACATATTATACAAATTATAAATATTTAAAATTTCTATAATTATGTTATTTCATCTGTTAATATATTAATTAATACATATAATATTATTCAGTAACATGGCCTAAAAGTGTTGAAACACTTGCCATGTGTGTGCGCTAATCTTGCACATATAAATAAGGAAAAAATTATAAATATATTTTTGAAATTTATTTAAAATATAAATTGTCTTTATAATTTTGAAAATTATATCCAATCTCTTCAACTTTTTAATTACATAATAGATTATTCCTTTTATTAATAAATTATTAAGTCAATTAATAATTTTTAATGATGTCAAAAATATATTTAAATTAGCAATTTAAGTAATTTTATTATTGTATAGAAGAAAAGTTAGAAATTTCATTTTTTCTATTAATTATGTTAAATGAAAAATTTTAATAATGGATATTTATAATTTTTAAAACTACAGGACGATCCATATCGTATGCAAATCTCAGAAAATATATTTGTAATTTACCCTATAAATAAAAGTAAATTACATTCACTTTTATGAAGTTTCAAAAAAACACGATCAATTTTATATTTTTTATATAATTACATGGACTTCCCTTAATATTTTAATTTATATAACAATTAGATTGTTTTTCATTAATAATTTGTTAGTTGTATGAATGAAAAAATGATATTGTCATTTATTTTGAACTAAATTGTATATTTTTCTTTGTTTATTTCATTGTCTACCTACAACTTTTATTAGTTTCAGTCGCTTTAGTCATACTAAAAGGAAGGTTAATACACTTATATTAAAAGTATGAGACTAATTATATTTTCCCCAAGCCTTAAGAGATGCGAGTGTAATTTACTCTATAACAGTTTCATTCGTAGTTTGATTTAAATTTTACTTTTAGTCTCTATTATTTTATTTTGAAAAGTTTAACTCCTACACTTTTAAGTTGAATTTCAAATTTCAATTGTAAGTTACTCTTTTATTTTTTTATCTTTCCAACAATTACCGTGACCCAACCCCAACTCAGCCCAATGTTCGATTTGGGTTCCATTTCATTCTATTTTATTTTTTATAATCACAATTTGATCAATCTCAATTTTAATTTTATTTATGTATCATTTTACTCCCTTAAAATATTGAATTCAAATAGTAACCGCTTAAAATTTGAAGTCACAATAATCACATCTTAATTTCCAAGAGCCAGCTTCTAAATTTAAAATTCAAATTTTTTTTTTTTTTTTTTTTTTTTTTTTTTTTTTTTGTAAGTGAATCAAATCCTACATCAAAGTCTAATGTTTCCAGTCTTTCAGAGAATGATTTCTTAATCAATTACGCATTTCCTTAATTAATGGATTAAGAACCCCTTCATTTTTGTTTTTGTATTGTTTTTTTTTCTCTCAAAAAACTCCAACATCATTTTCATTAATATATTTCAAAGAGTAAACCAACACTGAATAAAATACTGCCATCTCACAAAGATTATTCTGTGTTTAATTTTTATATTTTTAACATTATTGTATTGCAAAGGCTTCTAGCTAAACGATCACAAAATATATATATATATATATAAATTTAACTCAACAGCAATGCTAGGTATCATGAAAAGTTTATCATGAAAATGGTCATGAAAGATTTATGACCTTTGAATTACACTTACAATAAAGCATCACACACTAATCAAGGTAATCTAAAGGTTATAAATTTTTCAAGATCCTTTTCATGACAAAATTTTCATAATCTCTAACATTTCTCTTAACTCAATGCATGACACTCCCGTTACAATGAGGTTAAGAAACGACAACACATATATTAAACTAAATGTAAATAAGTGAACATTAGATTGATTCTACATGTCAGGGATTTTATAACAAAACAAATGACCAATCGCATAGTACATGTAATCAAATATCAAAACATTTGTGTCTATCATAATAAGTGTCAACACAAAACATACAAGAAGCTCGAATAGAATCAGAAATGTGGCTAAGAAAGCTCCCAATTCACTCTCAAGAATATAGCCCTGGGCAAATGCAGTAGCAGAGAAGCCTGCGGAGTAGATAATTGTGATGCAGGAAACAATGGTTTTCACTGGTATCGCAATAAGAAAATCGTTGGTGTCAAACCGCGATAGTTGAATCAACAGAGTTGCCAAGGAGAGAAAAGAAGAGAAGAAAAGAGCTAGCCCAATGTACACCATAAAGTACTGCAGTTCTTGTCGATTGGTTTTGAAAAGCATGGGTATGCTGGTGTTTTGATCAAAGCTTCTGGGGAGGGTAAAGAGCGCTGCGAAATTGATTGTGCCAATAAGAATGGCTACAACTATTAAGTTATCACTTATGTGTTTCGCGGCTTTCTCAGCTTCTTCTCGTAGAGCTGCGTGATTTCCTTCGAATAGTTCCTCTGCTGCCTTTCCATCAGTGTTTCGAAGATGCCATAAATGTGGATATGAGTCATGTTTTACCCGATGCGCGAAAACAAATTCAAATGATTTAATCAAAATACTCGATTAGTGCTCAAGGTAGTGTTGGAACAATCTTATGTGTAAATTAAATAATGAAACAAATTAAACAAATAAATAAATTACTTACAGAATTTATTTTATTAATCTGAATAAATATTTAAAGATCAAGTCGAGTGTGTGACACTCTGTCCTTCAAACAGATTCGTCTTACTACGATGCTTACGAACAAATGGCATCTATCTCCCAGGATACAATGATCTTCACAAATGGTAGGAGCACTCCAAATAATTTGTTCAACGAACAAAACATATGTTCTAAACTCTCTGAATTTTTTCCTAAAATAACATGAAGATAAAAAAATGCAAACAGATAAAAAAATCTGGACGGCAAGAAATGTATTTTTCAGATTGTTTTTCCCCAAATCCCCAATTGCTAGAACAATGCTGGTATATATAGGCAAATTTCAGACCCAAACAGGTATTAATTTCAAACTGGAATAGATTCAATTCATACCAATACACTACAAGAAATTGCAATTTTCACAGCACAACAAAATATGTTACTAAAAGGCAAAACTCATCGGCAAAAAGTTTTGCCAACACATGGAGCTACGTTGGCAACCCGTAGATAAAAGTGAGTCGGCAAAACTTTTTGCCAACGAAATTATCATTGCGTCAGTAAAAGTAATGCCTTTAGCGACAAACACAGTTGTCGGTAAAAGCCTTCATCTATCGTCAGCAATTTACCTTGCGTTGGTAAAAGTAGTTCAAATATGATGATTGTGTCACATTTCCTGACACAAATTTGCGTCGGCAAAAAATATACTTTTAGCAACACAATATGAGTCGGCAAAAGTAAACTTTTAACAACACATTTACCGATGAATTGTTTGTCGAGAAAGCTTTACTTTTTAGCAACAACAAATTTGCATCGTCAAAAATAATTAAAAATCTTTTATATTTTTTATAAGATCTATTTTACAGACAATTGATTGTGTTGCTAAAAATGCAAAAATCACTAGCATATATATACTACACATATGGCGATAATTTTCTACAAAATGCTCTCCTATGATCTTTATTATAGCACTAACACCTGGGTAGAATACTAGTTGTAAATTCAACTTCTTTGAAAGCAACAACACAATTTTACAGTAACAAAAAGTATTACAACTATATCACCATTACTTTCTACAACTACCCAACCAAATATTATAGTATAATCTCCTTTACAACCCGTAGGAGTTGGTACTAAACTAATGGATATAATAGTAAAAACATCAAAGAGGAATGTATACAAAAAGTATTGAAAACTGTAGGATGATCCACTTCCTGACACAGCTTAGCGAAAAAAGTTCCAAACACTACCAAACTTCAAAGCCAAACCATTGAGCTTCAAAATCACCAACGAGCGTGAAGTAACCCTGTCCATTATGAAGCAGCCAATAAGTATTGCTAAGATGATACAAGTAAAACCAATCATAAAGCAACAACAAGAGCATTTTTATTTATTTTTTTTGGGTAAGTAAGTTATAAATTAAAAAGATTTACAAGAGGTAGCCAATTGCAATTGCATATACTTATGAATGAATATAAAAATTTATCCTACAAAAAAATTAATAAAATAAAATAAAAAATTGAACTTTCATATGCATCTAAACATTCAATATTGCAATGGTTTATAACTTTCTTCAGTTTAGCTCATAATCAAAATCAAATGAGTTCATACCAAAAACAGCACAAAAGACAAAACTAGAGAGCTAATGAATCATCAAAACCAAAAATTAATGGCAGAACAGACCATGAAAGTATCCAACAATTATCGCAATAAATCAAAATTTAAAACGATGGCAAAACCTGGATGATGTACTCACAAGCAAAACAGGCAATAAGAAGATTGAATTGCCAGAGAAATGGGTTCTTAAGCCCTTAGCAAGATTCCCAATTGCCAAGATGGCTTCAACTGCAACAGCTATGTTTACATCTATAATAAGCTGCAAAAGAAAATTAATAATAATAATAATAATAAGTGAAACTATTTAACAGTCAAGTATAGAAGCAATAATCCTAATAGAAGCAAATATGAACGGAGTCACTCTAAACATCTTCCTCATAATCATCATCTTTGTAATGTCAAAACACAATTACCATCTTCCTCATCATCACCATCTGTAATGCAAGGAGTCACTCTGATCATCTACATCCTGCTCATAGTAATCATCAGACAACATTTCATCAGCAGGGACATCAATTTGACCCCTTCGAACCTTATCTGCTTCCTTCTGCCCATCATCACCTTCTGGCCCTAATTTATCTTCTCTTTCATCTAATGAATCTTCTTCAGATCCATCCTCGTTTTTATACTCGGATCCACTTTTCGGCTCCTGCCCAGATTCTAGTTCAGATGCAATTAAGGTTTCAGACAAATGGTATCACATTACTATTGATCAACATCCCAAAAACCCTAAATAGACTGGCTTCACATTCTCTAAGTCACTTTGTGAAATTTATGTATCTTGCTCCCTACCTATCCATGTGAAATTTGTACATGAGGAGGAATCCATTGTCCCAAAAATCCTCCCACCCACAAGGAAAAGGAAAAAATTTTAAATTTAAAGAAAAAAAAAGAACCAGAGCAAGAAACTGATAACAAAAGAGTGACTTAACAAAGGAAATAATACCATTATTAAGAAACCTGAAGAACATCTGCAACATATATGAAACTCTCAACTACAGGACAATTAGTTCAAATTCTTTCATAAGCAAATGTAATAAAATATCATATGCACATAGTTTGTACATTCTACAGTGTCATGAACAATTCTATTAATTAGCACACACTGAAGACAAAATAGCATATCCACAATATAGAGATGTAATTGTCACTGTAACTCCTAATGGTAAGTTGAACGAAATGTTAATTATTGAAATAATACAAGTGGAGATTAGATTCATATCTAAAAGAAGTTAGAAAACTTGGGAAAATTTGGGGCAGATTCTGCAGAGAATGCGTGTTAATATCAAAGACAGGCTAGTTTGTGTACATACAAAGAAATGAAAAGGCCTAAAAAGTTACTGAAAATGAAAGAACTAAAGTGCACTGCCATAAATAACAACATGTACCAGTCAGACTATAACTAATATCACATTCTTTTGATTTAAGAACAAACAGTCTTTTAAGAAAGAATAACACTGAAGAAAATATGTGAGAACCAATGAGCATCACATTGCAAGAAAGCAACCCACTTTTAGATTAAAGGTGGACAAAAAAATGCCTGCAAAAGAAGGATGTTGACTCAACATACACCATTATAGTACATAGCATAGCACTTTATTTGGAATGCCTACAGGTTTATGTTCACCATGGTTTCCACAATATATTCCAGTCTATCTGTTGTTGCAGGCTACATATAATCTACGTATACATATATTTATCAATTTTTTAAGTTCTTCAAAAAAGCAATTTCCACCATTTGCCAGCCATAGCAGTTCTCTTTCCAGAAGGCTACAAATTTGATGTTCTACCATTGTCTGCAGTTGCACCATCTTGGTGCCTACTTGCATCATCTGGTTCACCATCACTTCTATAGTGGCCATCCATCTTGATTTCAAAATCTTTATCACTAGAAGTCCTCTCTACATCTTCATTTCCAACCATCCCATGCATTCTCTCCATGGTTTGTCCCTGGCCTTTGTCATCAAAGGCACTTTGCGAAACCGTTTCATTAACGTAATTCCTAAAAAAAGCCATGTTTCCTCTCACATGGAACACACTTCAATTAGACTTTACTATCACTTCTATTTACAAGGAAAGTTCTTCAAATGGAAAGCAGTAAACGATCACTCAATGCAAGAGACTGTTAATTCTTTAACTATCACCTAAAATTCCCTCCAATGTTTGAGCAACAAACAAAATTTAAATTAGGTCAGTCAGTGAAACCTCATTAACCACTTTTACAATTCTAAATAAGCAGAAACTACATCTAAACAGGCTTAGGCAATCAAATAAGCAAATTGATATTAAATTCTAAGCATTTCATGAACCAAACACTATATGACATCAAGTGAGACTTGAAATTCAAGTCAAACACATAAAAATCTTCACAATACTGATAAATTCAAATAAAACCTAACCCGAAAGGAGTATCAAAAATGGTTCAAATGAGGCAAAGACCTAAACAAGACATTTCTAGCAAAAAATAGAACAAGGTTCAAGCACTCTGCTCCCGAAATTCGAATTTCAAGACCAAACAATCAAAAGATTCAACGAAATCCGATCTACATAATTGAAAAACTTTAAAATGTCAAAAATAAAACCAATTCTACAGTGAAAACAATGGATCGCTCACTAGACTAGCGAAATCTATTGAAAACGAAACGAAAACTTCAACCAAAAAAAAAACTCCATTAGACAAGCCCTAACAACGAAAAGCTCTAAATCTAACATCACAACCCCAAAATTGGCAGTAAAATGAGACAATGGATTGAAACAAAGAAGCTGATGATTCATCCAAGAACAGACTCACCTTTCTAGAGAGAGAAAGTGACGCGAATTAGGTCAAGATTGAAATTTCGCCACTGCCGAAGAGAGAGCACTGTTTCCAGGTTGAAATCTCGCCGTTGCCAAAGAAAGAAAATCGTGGAGGGAGAGTGACGAAGAGCTTACCTATCTGGAAAAAAACAAAGGGAATTTTGAGAGAGAACACTCCACCGCCTCGATTTTAGAGGCAGATTAAAAAAATAAAAAATAAAAATATTAAAACTAATTTGAGAAGTATAAAAATTAAAAATATATTTTTAAAATTTTAAAAATTATTTATGACCTCTTAAAAGATAAAATTGTATAAAAATAATAATTATTTTTTTTATTTTTTGACCATATTTGTTTTTAGCTTTTTAGAAAAAAAATTCTGAAACAAGTTTATGAAAATAAAACCAAACATACTGAAATTGAAAATCTAACCACATTTTTTAGAAAAGTTTAGATTATCTCAAATTAGTTATCTCAACTTAAGAGTGTGTTTGAGTTTGATGGGTTCATTTTGTGATCTAATTTAATAATCATTTTAATTTTACAATTCAATAACTAAAATATCTAAAACTCTTTGAAAGTTATAATAAAAACACAAATCACTAAATCACCTCATTTCAGCAAAACTTTTACCAACGAATAGTGTTATCATCGCTAAATGTTTACTCTATGCCCACATCAACTTGCCGTTGCCAAAAGTAAGCACACTAATAGCGACGCTTATTGTGTTGCTAAAAAATAAGTCTCGTAGCTAAATTTTTTGAAATTTTGGCACTAACCAATATTTTTGTGCCTAGTGATTTATACGTTTTTTTAGCGATGATAATAAATTGCGTAGGTAAAGGTCTATTTTTACCAATGAAATTGATCACTGTGTCGCCAAAAATATAGATTTGGCTATGAAAAATTGACGTCGTCGCCCAAAGTAGTCGCCAAAAGTGCAATTTGTTGTAGTGATAGGTGCAACATTGTTTGAACAGATAACTGTTGGAGTTTGAATCTGTTGGTAACTGTTAGACAGTTTTATAACTGCTAAACAGATCTGTCTAGGCAGTTTCAATTTGTCCGAAATTTGAAACTATTGTGGAACTTGGAAGAGGCACAAATTTTGGACAAAAAAATTGAATTCAAATTTGGCGCAAAATTCAAATTAATTTCCCGTAAGAATTTTTGAAAAAATTCAAATAAATTTTGTCCAAAAAATTAACATTAGAACCGACCCGACCCACAACCCACACCCTTGCCCAGCATGGCCGGCAGCAACAGCGCGCGTGTGTGATGGTTTGGGCTAAGGTTTCATTTGTCCATAACTCTTCCCTTCTACAAATTTAGGGTGCCCCTTGGGGCCCAACCCAAGGTTGTGCACTTAGAGCTTATACACTCACAAAAGTTCTCTTAAAGTTTCAATGTGGATCAAGCCTTACAAGGAAACCCACATTTAATTCTTTAAATTGTCTATTCCACGAACCCAAAAACAACGTCAAGTTCTCATTCACTCATAAATGGTTTTGACGAACCGTTTTCACTGTGTGACTTACCATGCTGCAAGGAACACGTCACCTTTTCAGACCCACCCCAAAAGACGTTTGGGGCCCACTCAATTTTGGGCTCAAAATTGGCCCAAAATAAGCCTTATAAAACCAAATTTTCCAACAATCCCCCACATGAATGGAATTTGACGGAGAGAAAATACAACATGATCTAATTACAGAGAGTACAAAAATTAAAAATATTCTACAAAGGATAGGTAGCTTTTGGCTTTAAACCTTCCCTTGTGAGACACTATCGGATTTACTAGCTAACCAGTGAACATGATGTCTTGAACTGTTCAGCTGTTTGTGTAAACCAAGAAAATAGAGCTTACATAGTATATTACCAGACACAGTTTAGTTCTCACTATTGTGTTCATTTTGGCCCTGAACAATCTGGTCTTTCATGAGTGCTCTAGAGAATTGTAGCCTTTCACAAATCTCATAGAACCGGCCCAGTTCACACTTATATAGGTGATTCTTATGAAAAGTATCCTGCCATACTCCACTAGGTATACCTAGATATAAAAATCCTTAAAAGTATTACTTAACCTAAAACGCTGTAGACATCACTATTTCATCATAGAAATGGGTAGAAGTTTGACTCCCCAGTGATCCTTATAAGTCATACACAACTCGGTTGTCCCTTTGAACCTAGATCTTGGGATCTCCAGTCAACTAGGTTGAGTTACCGTTATGGTAACTCTTATTTAATAGGCTTAAGTCTCATTCCCCTCAATGAATTTTCAGCTAATTCTTTTACTAACCTTTTGGTTAGTGGATCGCTAAGTTGTCTTTAGACTTCACTTGTTCAATGGAAATAATTCCATTAGAGAGTAGTTGTCTCACGGTGTTATGTTGACGACGAATTTGTCGTGACTTATCTTTATACATATGACTCTATGCTTTACCAATTGCTGATTGACTATCGCAATGTATGCATATAGCAGGCACAGTTTTGGCCATATTAGAATATCTTCAAGGAAGTGGCGAAGTCATTCTGCTTCCTCCCCAGCTTTATTTAAAGTGATGAATTCTGATTCCATAGTAGACCTAGCAATGCAAGTCTGTTTGGAAGATTTCCAAAATACAACCGCATCACCAAGAGTAAAGACATACCCACTTGTGGATTTTGAGTCTCTAGTATCCGATATCCAGTTTGCATCATAATACCCTTCAAGTACTGCTGGATATCTAGTATAATTCAGCCCAATGTTACGAGTAAATCTAAGGTATCTTAGAACCCTTGTAATTGTTTTCTTGTGTTCTACTACTGGATTACTCGTATATCTACTTAATTTACTTACTGCATATACTATATTGGGTGAGTGCAGTTCATCAAGTACATTAAGCTTCCAATAATTTGGGCATACTATAATTGAGAAATACTTTCCTGTACATTCTTAGAAAGAAACAAATTAACATCCACAGGTGTTCTAGCAAAGATTTCATCTTTGCTAAATTTGTCAAGTATTTTCTCACTGTAATGAGATTGTGACAAAATATAACCTTATGATGTTTTGGTAATTTTCATACCAAGAATTACATCAACAATGCTCATGTCCTTCATGTCAAAAATGTTTATTCAACATTTTCTTGGTAGTTTTAATCATGTCATTATTACTACTTATGATGAGCATATCATCCACATAAAGACATACAATGACATAACCTTTATTTGTGTTTTTAATATAAACATATTTGTCACATTCATTAATTTTGAATCCATTTGGCATCATTGCTTTGTCAAATTTCTCATGTCATTGCTTTGGCGCTTGTTTTAAATCATATAATGATTTAACTAATTTACACACTTTCTTTTCTTTTCCTAAAACAGAAAAATCCTTTTGGTTGTTTCATGTAAATTTCTTCATCTAACTCACCATTTAAGAAAACGGTTTTCACATCCATTTGATGAATTTCTAAATTGTACAGAGATACAATGGCAATTAGCATTCTAATGGATGTTATTCTGGTAACTGGTGAGTATGTGTCAAAGTAATCAAGACCTTCTTTTTGTCTAAAATCTTTGACCACAAGCCTTGCGTTGTATTTGTCAATTGATCCATCCGCTTTCATTTTTCTTTTGAAAATCTACTTATATTCAAGAGGTTTACACCCTGGTGGAAAATCCACCAATTCCCAAGTATGATTTTGCAAAATAGAATCAACTTCGCTATTTACAGCTTCTTTCCATAAAGGAGCCTCAGGACTGGACATAGCTTCTTTAAAAGTTAAAGGGTCATTTTCTAACAAAAATGTTAGAAAATCTGGACCAAAAGATTTTGAGGTTCTAACACATTTACTACGCCTAAGTTCTTCTTCCTCATTTTGATTTATCTCTTGCTCTTGTTCTTGATCATGACTAGTAATAGCATCACATGATCTTTTATTAGTAGTCTCTTGTCCAGTTTTGTTTGGAAATACATGTTCAAAGAAAGATGCATTCCGAGATTTAATAATAATATTTACATGTATTTCAGAATGTTCTGATTTATTAATCAAAAACCAATATGCACTACTATTTTTTGCATAACCAATGAAAATGCAATCAATGGTTTTAGGACCTATCTTAGTCTTTTTAGGATTAGGAATAACTACTTTAGCCAAACACCCCCATACTTTTAAATATTTGTAGGATGGTACTCTCCCATGGGACAATTCATAAGGTGTTTGATTGACTTTCTTTCGAGGTACTTTATTAAGTATATAATTTGCAGAAAGTATTGTTTCCCCCCACAAGTTCTGAGGTAATCTAGAACTGATTAACATGGCATTCATCATTTCTTTTAAAGTCCTATTTTTCCTTTCAGCAATTCCATTTTGCTGAGGTGAGTAAGGAGCGGTGGTTTGATAAATTATTCCATATTCTTTAACAAATTCACCAAAAGGTGATTCATATTCACCACATCTATCGCTTCTAAGTTTCTTAATTTTCTTACCAAGTTGATTTTGAACTTCATTCTTATATTGAATGAAAGTTTCCAAAACTTCATCCTTTGTTCGAATTAAATAAATATAACTATATCTAGTATAGTCATCTATGAAAGTGATAAAATATTTTTTCCCACCTCTAATTTGAATTGATTTAAAATCACAAATGTCATTATGAATTAATTTTAGTGGTTCTGTACTTCTTTCAATTGAATGAAAAGGAATTTTGGATAATTTTGCCTCAATGCAAATTTCACATTTATGATTTAAATCAATGTCAAATTTAGGTAAACATTTCATATTAATTAATCTACACAAAGATCCATAATTAACATATCCAAATCTACCATGGTATAAATTTAAAGACTCAAGCAAGTAAGAAGATGTATTTTTATTAATAACAGAGGGTACAAAAGTCATTACATTCATTTTAAAAAAGCCATCAGACATGTAACCTTTTCCTACATATATCCCGTTTTTGGTAAGTACTAACTTGTCACTTTCTAAAACTAGCCTAAACCCATTTTTACTCAACAAAGATCCGGAAACAAGATATTTGCGAATGTCCGATACATGCAGCACATTGTTGAGAGTGAATTCCTTTCCAGATGTCATCTTCAGAATAATCTTTCCTTGTCCTTCAACTTTAAAAGTCGAGGAGTTGCCCATAAAAAGTTGTTCACTATTGT